GTATGTATGTATGTATGTATGTATGTATGTATGTATGTATGTATGTATGTATGTATGTATGTATGTATGTATGTATGTATGTATGTATGTATGTATGTATGTATGTATGTATGTATGTATGTAATGTTTTACTGTATCTCAGCACAAAAGCGCAACATGAAGTGCACACAAATTTAAGAAATTCAGTGTAAGAAATATCAAATACAAAACGGGTAAAGTTGGCTTTAAATAATACTAATTTGATTTATATTTTCGTGTCGGTGCCCGTTTGAAGACTTCTTAAATTTGGTTTTCAGCGTAATTAGGAGGGATATCCAGTGCAAATGCTCTTCTTTCCTGGTTTTGGAATTGCAGTTGCAGTTGTGGGCAACTGCATTTAAAATAATGTCATTGAATGTATGGCCAGAGGAATAGAAGTGTTTTGCTACCGAAATTCTGTCCAACATCTATTTCATCCAATCAGATTTGTGAAGATTTATCATTGTGTTAGGTGTTTCGGTTTCTCCGACATTCTAATACGTGATGAAATATATATTTATATATATATATATATATATATATATATATATATATATATATATATATATATATATATATATATATATATATATATATATATATATATATATATTTGTTTGCATATTTTGTTGTGGACCACGTATATGTTCATTTTTTTCGCTCTTCGCTGAAGGATAAGGTATTTGCATCGATCAAATGTTCGCATGTTTTCCATTTGTTATCACCGAAGGCCCAAAATGCTTTAATATAATGTTGGATTGTCTGGTTGGTATGTGGAAAGAACTCATAACCTGTTAACCTTTCTTTTTCTTTATATTTCAAGAGGTCATTGCATTTTTGTGTTTGTTTGTTTTTTTGTTCGATGGATAGTTTGCTTCCACAGTCTCTTTTGTTACGTAGCCACGAACCGTAAATATGCAGAAAACTTTTTGGACCATTTGGTGGAATATTTCATTCTTGGAGCAAATTCTGTGTTTTGTATGTGTATGATTTTACCGGGTGATCTGAATGCAATATTCTGGAAGACAGCCGGATGGGAGAAGATGCGGCACTGCATCCAAAGCATCTATTGCAGTCCAACATGAACGTAGCATGTGATTTTTATTTTTTGTCATAAACCCTGTTTCACCTTTGATCCCATAAGCAAGGTACGATGTGTCTTTTTGAACCAAAATCTGAGACTCACACGGTATTTAAAAAAAGGAAAAATCAAAATAGTGCAAGAGATCATATCTTTTAAATTTGTTTTCTTTGTATGGAATTTAAAGATCGGAACATATATGCACCTCTGTAGGATACGAACATTTTGAATGTTTACAGTTTATGGTGTATTAGTTTTGTAATTTCACACTTCAGTTATTTGAATTGCAATCTGGTAATCCTTCTAACAGTTATTTTTATATTTTTCCTTGTCTGTTTCAATTATTTCACCATCGTAAATCTATTTAGTTGTTTACAATTTCCATTTGCAAATGTATATTTATTAATAGGAACTATTAAAGATTGTGTTTTATGTAATCATAAAAAAATTGCAAAATCTACTACAACATCTTTTACTCATGTTTCGATGTTAAAGACTGCAGAGCTTCACATTTTGTATAATGGTTTGTTAAAGGACTCTTTTGAAAAAGGGTATGTTCCTGATTCTGGCTAAATAATAAAATAAATGTCTACAGGTCTTGTGATAATTATAATTTTTTACAACAGCTTTGCAAAACTATTGAAAATATATTTATGTTTTCCCCAAAGATATCTTGTCAGTCAGTAGTTTATTATGAGAATATTTCCGGAAATGTTAAAAACAACTTTTATCAAGAAATAAAGTTGTCACCTTTTGAATCCCACGGATTTACTTCCCAAAAGCACGCTCCAGGCAGTCCATATTCTATAAAACAAACACTGTGTTCAGACGACTGTTTTGAGCCTGGGTCATATAATAATAGAGTCCATTATCTCCATGTATTATTAGTACATGAATACATTAACTGGACCCTACATGAGTCTCTTTGTTTGTTTAGAACAATGTCCAATCAAAACTAATAGATAATGAACCAGACTCTGTGTGACGTCTCAGATTCTCTTCATTGTGATGTCAAGAGCAGGCATTTTTGACTGCTTTTGTTTTCTGCAGTAAAAGTGCACTTCCTTGTTGGACTGTCTTTATTGGCTCACAGAGAAACGTTATCATAAAAGCAATATGATGTACTCGGCAGGTACGATGCAAATATAATGTTGTGCCCGACAGTACAAGACTGTTCTGTGCACTTTGTTTTAAGGTACAATTACGTTAAAAGTGCATAGTGTAGCCATCTCTCACAAAATAAATCAGTTATGTACAAGGCTCTCTTTTTATCAACGACAGCCATATTTCATGTCCACATTTTGTGACATAGGAGATGTACAAAATATACTTGCATGGAGTGTGGCTTTGTGTCATTCAGTACGTTTATCATTGAACGTCACTTGAACACAAACTTGATTCATAGTTTATAATTGTTTTACATGTAGAACGTTTTCGCTAGTCAAAGAGACGTAAAACGTCAAAGAAACGTTAAACGTCAAAGAGAGGTAAAACGTCAAAGAGACGTAAAACGTCACAAAAAGACAGAATATCAAAATTTACAATTTGACTATGAAGAGTGTGGTCTTATATATGAGATCAAATCAAAACTGAAATAACACGTATATAAAACATTCTAAGACTGAAGAATATATTTGCAAAGTGTGTGGTAAGACGTTTCGATTGTGTTGCAACTTGTGCAGTCAGATGAAGCACCACAGCAAAGACTTACATAATTACTAGTTTTGTGGAAATCATTTCTCACACAATATTATATAAAACGTAACGAGGAAGAACACGTTTCCATGCGTGTTGAATGCATAATCTGCAAACAAGTTTTCATTATTAAATAGTACCTTCAGCAATACTTGGAAAAATTACCTCCCGACCCGTTGAAGAAGGAAGCAGCGACACAAGAAAAGTAGTAACTCATCTCTGTTGCAAAATGACTTTTTGGTATGTTGCAGTTTTACTGTATCCAGTTTAAATGTAACTTGTAGCATTTACTGCAGTTTTCACAAAATCTAAAGACTCCATTTTCTACACAATGTACCTCCAGTTTGAATCTGGCAGGAAAATATATTTAGATACAGGGCCCAGGAAAACGACTCTTCTTATCATCCTGACCGTATAAAACTTTATTACGTACGCGCCAATGAGATCAGCAGATTCCGATTGATACATTGAGAACGTTGAAGTTCAAAACCGATTAACATGAGGTGTACATCTGTTATAAATAATCTTTGTCTAATTTGCCATTTAGTTGTTAGGCCAGAAGATGTAGCAAAAGATACGTCTTCGTTTTATCGCTCAGATACCCGTTATAAACTTGATCCCAAACTAGGTAAATATTATGAACGTATTAACCCTAGATTTGTTAACGGTGTTTGGGTTTACAGTTTTCATTTTGATATGGATAGAGTTTCCTATTCAACTATCTATCACATACCTTTATGAATGAGACCTAAAAAAAAAGATACGAACCAGAGAATGTTCAATGTTTTAAATTTTCGTCTGGTCATGCAATGCAACAGTCATCCCAAGTAACAGGTATTTTAAAGACTGAAATTGTATTGACATACATAGAAAAGTGAGATAGTTGGAATTCTTTCAAAATTCAACATACTATTTTATAAATTAAAAGTAACACTACATACTTAAAGGAATATTTGCTTGAGCTATTAATTTGGTGTGACGATGTGTTGAAAAAGCTGGTGTCTTTAATTTGGTATGACAATGTGTTAATAAAGCTGGTGTCTTTAATTTGGTGTGACAATGTGTTAATAAAGCTGGTGTCTTTAATTTGGTGTGACAATGTGTTAATAAAGCTGGTGTCTTTAATTTGGTATGACAATGTGTTAATAAAGCTGGTGTCTTTAATTTGGTGTGACAATGTGTTAATAAAGCTGGTGTCTTTAATTTGGTATGACAATGTGTTAATAAAGCTGGTGTCTTTAATTTGGTATGACAATGTGTTAATAAAGCTGGTGTCTTTAATTTGGTATGACAATGTGTTAATAAAGCTGGTGTCTTTAATTTGGTGTGACAATGTGTTAATAAAGCTGGTGTCTTTAATTTAGTATGACAATGTGTTACTAAAGTTGGTGTCTTTAATTTGGTATGAGAGTGTGTTAATAAAGCTGGTGTCTTTAATTTGGTGTGACAATGTTGAAAAAGCTGGTGTCTTTAATTTGGTGTGACGATGTGTTGAAAAAGCTGGTGTCTTTAATTTGGTGTGACAATGTGTTGAAAAAGCTGGTGTCTTTAATTTGGTGTGACAATGTGTTGGAAAAGCTGGTGTCTTTAATTTGGTGTGACAATGTGTTGAAAAAGCTGGTGTCTTTAATTCGGTATGACAATGTGTTGAAAAAGCTGGTGTCTTTAATTCGGTGTGACAATGTGTTGAAAAAGCTGGTGTCTTTAATTTGGTATGACAATGTGTTGAAAAAGCTGGTGTCTTTAATTTGGTGTGACGATGTGTTGAAAAAGCTGGTGTCTTTAATTTGGTGTGACGATTTGTTAATAAAGCTGGTGTCTTTAATTTGGAGTGACGATGTAGCTAGTGTCTTTAATTTGGTGTGACAATGTGTTTAAAAAGCTGGTGTCTTTATTATGGTGTGACAATGTGTTAACAAAGCTGGTATTTTTAATTTAGTGTGACAATGTGTTAACAAAGTTGGTGTCTTAAATATGGTGTGACAATGTGTTAACAAAGCTGGTGTCTTTAATTTGATGTGACAATGTGTTAACAAAGCTGCACAATCTTGAAAACACTGATGATCTGGAATAAGCGTGACACTGTCAGAGCAGACGAAAATACGAAAATGTTGATATGCGCTGTCTTTTAACTACTCCTATAGCTAACTCACGAAGTTCATCATCGTCGTCGTCGTCGTCATCATCATCATCATCATCATCAACTGCTCCGGTGGCCTAGTGGTTATAGCGTCCTCCTTAAATGCGGGAGGTCGTGAGTTCGATTCCCAGTCGAGTCATACCAAAGACTTACAAAAATGGTACTAACAGCTGCCTTGCTTGACGCTCAGCATTAAGAGGTTAGTGTTAAGACTGGTTGTCCTGGTGTCAGGATAATGTGACTTGGTGGGACATCATGCTACATGTCTGCGGCGTGATGCCCCAGTGCTGGACATCCCTATAAACTGCCACACTGCAAACATCGTAACGATATGACTGAAAAATTGTTAAAGCTACGTTAGAAATCATCATCATCATCATCATCATCATCATCATCATCATCATCATCATCATCATCATCATCATCATCATCATCATCATCATCATCATCATCAATCCCATAACCCAAGAAGTTGTTTGGACACCATAAATGACTTTACAATCAATCTTTCCCTGTTCTCTAATGTGTTTATTTGTAATATAGGCCAGTGGCCCATGTTACATATCCATACATCATACGGTTTATAAAAAACATCGTTTTTATAAGAAGTAATGTATATGAAAGTAATCATTATTTCGTTTCTTCGAATATAGGTTAGATGCAAGTATAGAGTGCACAGTAATCAAACAAGTGGATTTCTGGTATTACCCCTGATCGGCAAGTTCCCCACTCTATGCATAGTAATTATATAACAAAGATCGTTATCTCCCAACAATTTTAGATATTTTTGACAAGTAAATTCTACTCCCAATACTTATAAAAGCGCAATCTTTCAATCAGCACATCTCATCATGCAGCTTTTGCTTTAGAATATCTTCACATCTCTGGCTGAACAATCTAAAGAAATTTATTTTCATCATTTACGCCCTGAGTACGTCAAACATTACCAAATTTAAATATAAGTATAAGCTTTTTAACTTCGTTAGCCCAGCAATCACAATTTTTCCCCATCTTAATTGTAAATCGTAGCATTGTTTAGGATATATATCTTCTGACATTTTAGAATTCTTAGCCAATATTTCAAAATACGTTTATATCTTATACACTGTATGCTAATTTTTCCTAATTCGTTATATACAAGTGCATTTGTAGTAGGCATAGATGTACCAAGATTTTATTTACAAAATGATAAATGAGCTTTATCAATATCCTTGTCATCATAAACCCCCAAACCTCAGAGCCATGGTTAAGTATAAGAGCTATCTTCGACTCAAATAGGCGAAGCAATGCTTTATGGGTAATCTGCCAAATTTTGAAAGACTTTGTTTCAATACATGCACAGACTTCAGCGCCTGCAAGCATATCCTTTTCTGGCACAGATAACATGAGAGTTTTGAGGAAAATATTCATCCGAAATATTTATAATATGAGAATATTTTTCAACTGTTGAGCAGTGTCAGCAAAAACACTTAAATCGTCTGCATACAGCAGTGAAAATAGTCCTAAAGTTTCTACAGACAATCCCTTGTTTTCATCAGCTAAAATGGGTTTCAAATCATTAAAAATTAATGAAAATAGTAAAGGCGATCATATACAACCTTGGTGCACGGCCAAAGGGCGATTGAACACATCGGTAATAAGATTGTTGGACTTAGCACATTATTTTACAAAAATATACATTGCCTTAATAATTCCTAATATTTTTTCACTAATATTTTCACTGACTAGCTTAAGGGACAGTAAACGCCTATCCTATCAAAAGCTTTTACATAGTCAATGAATACTGCAAAGAATCTACCGCTATGTTTTCTTACACATGTATAAATTATTGTATGTAATATAAATATATTATGGTAAGGAATACCCCACTCTAAATCCTGCTTGCTCTTTGTAATTTGTTTTCTTTCACCCATTCATTTATTTTGTTATTTAAAATCGATGAAAACATTTTGCTTAATACAGGTTGAAGACTAATGCCACTGTATTTGGAGAGTTCATTTACATCCACTTTCTTCAAAGTTGGTATGATGATTACCGTTGACCAATATTCTGGATAATATCCATCATCGAATAGTTTAATAAAAAATATTATTAATATCGGTGCAATTATGTGACTAATACATACAAAGAAGTCGCTGGATAAAGCACATATTTCCCTAGTTTTTGCCATATTTCAACTCTTTTTCAGTGATTGTTCTATCTAAAGTTTCGTGAATTGCATGAATGTTTTTAGTTTCCTGCATCTGTTCATCAGAACTGGAAAAAATTAACAATTCTGAAAAATATTCATACCAAGTTACAGACATGATACTGTTTTGCATACCAAAACTTGGGTTCTTCACAAGCCGCACAAAATTTGTGTATCTTAAGAGTATAATGAAGATAAAGGCTATTTAATTTTAATTCATATTACTTTTGTTTAGTTCTTGTGAGAGATTTCTTACATATTTCTATAAAATTTATAATTTGCAAGTAATTCACTTGTACGTTTTAACCTAAACCGTTTTAGATCTTTAAGGTTTTGCTTTTGGCGTTTTTACAATCGGTATCAAACCAAGGCTGACATTTAACAATTCTTCTTAAAGGTGTCACAGCTTGAAATTGCTTTATTTTGATTGTTTTCATTGCGCTTGGTGCATTATGGCAAATATCAGTAATTGCTTCGACACATTAATTAAGTTGTTATTGTTTAAATCATTTAAAATCTTGTTTATATTTTGAGATAATAGATCTTTGAAATTTTGGATAACAAATAGACCACCTTATTCTGTGTTCCACGTCTATTTATTTATTTCGTTACCTCCAGAGACACTTTTTTCCTCTTGATCTACTTTACCCTTGTAGACAAATGAGAATACAATGGGCATGCGTACTGATTCCTATCTACCATCTGTGTATAAGGATGATATTTTGTTTAAAACACATATGTCGGCTGAGACTTAATCTATTGTTGAGAACGAATTGCCATGCTTACTTGTAAATTTCCATATCCCTTTATATGACCCACATCTACCGTTGGTAATTCTCAATCCAGTCATTTGTGTGTGTGTGTGTGTGTGTGTGTGTGTGTGTGTGTGTGTGTGTGTGTGTGTGTGTGTGTGTGTGTGGTATCCTATTTTGGGAGTTCTTTGCAGAAAAAAGAAGCGTTTTCAAGACTCATAAAAGAATTCTCTGGAAGTAAAAAAAAACAACAACAAAAAAACAAAAACAACAACAACCAAAACAAAACAAAACAAAACAAAACAAAAACAAACACGGGCCTTGTCGTGTGTCAGTTTTAGAAATAAACTGACGTGTTACATAATCTATCAATTTCTAAGTATCAGTCTTAGTTCTATTTCGGTTAAAAATTGTTACTACACGCGGATGTTTGCTAAAACCAGAAGTCTTAAGTAATAAATTTAACACATGCAAATTTCTTGCAATACGCCAGGCATTTTAGGCACAATCCCATTCCACATGTGTGGAAATAAACGAAACCAGAAACCGAGAAATGGTAAAGATGTTTGATGAAATGTTTTGGCGGCTGTCTCAGTTATGACCCAATATACCAGATGGATCTTAGTTACCACATCGAAACGCACTCTTCTTGATCGATTTTATCTTGGAACAAGACTCCGTAAAATCGCAAACGTTTGCTGCAATAGCCATAAAGAGCACGAGGTAAAGATCAGCAAAGTTGAAAAGCGATTTGTCAACAGTGAATGTTCATGAAAACAGACCATCTTTGCACTCTCAGATATAGAAAATTTGGTACTTCATAAATATCACGTATCATGGATTGTCATACATGAAAGACGCACATTTTATCGGTTTCCATTCCTAGATGGATTCCTCGGTTCTGCCTATTTACAATACATTACCTATGTGAGCCTAACGACGTAGCCCAAGGAAGGCAGAAGCAACAATGCCATATTTGTCGCTCCCGATACAGACGTGTCTAAATGTTGGGAGATTGGACTTGAATGCTCTTGACTTTTCAGTAGTATAGGAAAATGAGGATTTTTGCCCCCCCCTCCCACACCTCCTCCCCCACCCCGCCAAAACCCTCCTTTCCCTATACTACTACTATGTAGACAGATATTTTGTAACCAGACAAAACAACAGGTGTTGGAATGCGATAAGCTCTGTCAACAGAAGTGACGAATTTGTTAGAACAGCGTATGTGTGGAATATGATTATTCTAAAGACGGCAAATAGGTTTTACCACAAATTTTTTATCAGATAACATGATGAAAATTAAACTGTACATTAGAACGTTTCAGTTAACAAGGTGGAAATAAAACTAGCATTAGAATGAAAATGATATTATTTTATATCTCATTACCAATGATTAATGTTTCAACTGTTGATATTAAAAATACTTCACTATCACTACTATAGATACTAAATTTTACTTTACCGCTCACACAGCGATGGGACTCAAACAAATCTTTCATTTCTGGTTTGTTCAGAGGATATTTTTGTTGATAAAATATACCTTTGACCGATCGAGATCAATTGTGAGTTTAGTATAGTTTTGTTGGCTAATGGGGCTGTGAAAGTTTTTAAATTCCGCTAGCAACTTTTGATACAATTGTTCGAGATAATTGAAATACACGCTGTTATCAGATCTGATGAGCGAAAGTTTTAACTTGTCACGTGTTCCATTAAAACATATACCTAATGTTTCATTATTAAATTCAACTGTCAATTGTTTACCGTCCATCATTAGATATGTGATGTTACTATTGTAGCTATTTGTCATTGTCAAATTTTCAAACATTATTTTATAAGTTTAGATAAAATTTCAGTTGGAAAAGATAATGTCGAGTATAGATCTATCATCATGACAATACCCAAGGGCAAATGTATCTACCCCATTTTTACAATAGCGTTTGTCATCAAAATTATACAATCCACGTTTGGTAATGACATCTGTTTCGAGTTTATGATGATTAGTTCGAATTGCCATAGCTCTCATAAAACTAACACCGCCATCAAGCGCATACCTGTAGTCATCAAATTTCATAAACTTTTTAACAAAATCACGAGGCAGACCTTTTGCTTTTTTCGTTATTTTATTATTGTCCAATAATACGGCATATATTTTACTACTTAATCCGATAAAGTATTTGATAGCGCTTGAGTTCATTACAT